GCGAGCTGCGCCGCCGCCTGCCGCTGCAGGTGCGCCATCTTGCTCGCCGTCGACGCATCCTCCGGCGGTTTGTCGTCGTCCGAGTCGCTCAAGTTATCCCACTTGCTGTAATTGAGCACCATTCTGGAAGCTTCGGCTTTGTTAGCGGCAGCAGCCCCGGGCCATCACTCCCTCGGCTCGCGGGGGAAGCATGCTAAAGTTGCCAAAGCCAAGCTCGTCCGTCGCTAAAAGCTTGCGGCAGCTCTCCATCTCAGCTCTCCGCGGTGGCTCGGCCTCCGCGTCCTCGCCACGGACTCGCAATCCTTGCCGCACGTCGGCGCGCCAGCGCCACAAGCAAAATATAACAACATCGACACGCTTTGAGCGCAACGGCAGCATGAAGCTCACGGAGCCCTGGTCGAAGAAGCACAAGGCGGTGACGAAGCACGGCGGCCTGCCGCACAACCTGTCGAACTCGTTCGCGCAGCCGCTGACCATGGGCGAGCTGCTGCGGCTCACGCGGGCGCGCGGCGACGAGGCGCTGCTCGCGCTCTACGAGGACCACGACCTCGGCTACACGCCCAACGGCGGATCTCGCGACCTCCGGGAAGCCGTCGCCGAGCTCTACGGGCCGTCGGTCGGCGCGGACGACGTCGTCGTCTTCACGGGCGCGCAGGTCGCGCTCCAGACCGCCGCGCTGGCGCTCGTCGACGAGACCGCGCACGCGATCGCCTTCGCGCCGGGCTACCAGAGCGTCCTCGAGGCGCCCGTTCACGCGGGCGCCGCCGTGACGTCGATCCCGCTCTCGCCCGCGAACGGCTGGGCCGTCGACGTCGCCGCGGTCCGCGCCGCGATCCGGCCGAACACGCGCTACATGGCGCGCCGCCCGCGTCCCGACTCTCGAGACGAAGGATCGCCGCCGACGCGTTGCGCTCGATCGTCGCGGCGCGCGCCGGGAAGGCGAAGGAGCGCATGAGCGCCGAGGCGCAGTACTCGCCGCGCGCCCACGCGGCTCCTCGTAGGTCCTGAACCAGCCCTACAACCCGGCGGGCACGCTGCTCCCGAAGGACGTCTTCGCCGCGCTCGTCGAGCTCGCGCGCGAGCACGGCATCTGGGTCCTCTGCGACGAGGTCTATCGCCTGCTCGAGCACGACGCGAAGGACCGGCTCCCCGCGCGGGCGCGGCGTCTCCGTCGTCGCTCGTCCCCCGTCGAACGAAACACTCCACTAGGCGATGGCCGACGCCTACGAGCGGGGGCTGAGCTGCGTGACCATGTCCAAGCCCTGGGGCGCCGGCGGCGCGACCATCGGCTGGCTCGCGTTCCGCGACCCGACGCTGCGGCAGCGGCTCCGGA